ATATATATATGTATATAAGTTTAAAATTTTTAATTTGTTTTTAAACTTTTCCTTTGCATCATTGTGATAATCATGAATAAAAGAAATGTTCAAAACATTATTTAAATCTTTACGTATTTTATATCTAATTATTTCCATTTCATAAAAATGATTGACATTGGAAATGTCAATCAACGTCGCAATGATATATAAAAATATAATTTATTAACAATAGTTATAACAGTATCAACAACCTATGTAACATGAATGACTCGATAATTTAACCGAATAATTGCGATGGAATTAACTCGATGATTTTAAATGGTTTGCGGCGATCGTTATTCACCGAGCGTCCTCGATCGTTTTCGTTTTGATTTGACGTTGCAGGTGGAAAAGGTCAGAGCAAGACGGTTATCAAACGTGGGTTCGAGGGAGGAGGGGGGGGAGGGGGGGAATAGAAAAGGTATAGGTGTATAAGATTGTACAAGCGCAAAATCGTAAAACTATTGCGTGAAGTGTTAGCCGGATCACAAATACCGAAATGGAGAACGGAGATAGCGTGTGTTTTGATGTGCGCGAGATTAATTAGAATTGCGAATTTATGATTCCCACATCTGCCGCTTATAACTTCTGTGATTATCTCGCACTGCTATAATCATCGATACAATGACCCAGCAGTATTCTTCACTATATTCTTGTTTCTCTCTAAGAAACTTCTTTGCAGCTGTTTCTATAGAACATCTTGAATCATTTGGTCATATCTATTATCACCTTCCTATTACCGCAAATTAACACATAAAAATTAATATATTCTCTTCTCTTCTCTCTTTCTTTGAATTACATGTATAATAAATACAAATCAATAATATAAATTTTGTATCATTTATAATAAATTCTAATTATTTCCATTTTGTCGAAACTGGATAAAAATATTAGCTAATGAAACATCGATTCATTCTAAGGATGTTACACAACGTACTATTGGAAACGTTTCAATGTATTATATCATAGCTGTCGCAAAGCATTTTGCAAACTTTATGTAAGGTCCAGAAAACAGGAGGTAGACTTGGTAGGTCGCGTGCATACAGTAACTTGTACAGATATATTCGTACATAATTGGAACCTTGAGCCAAAATTCTCTTGCCTAATATCCCAGTGAAAGGAATATTTGTCTCATATAACAGAATTTCCACGGGAATAGTGCAGTTTCGAATAGTATCGCTTACTATGAATGACAATTTTGTAAGAGATATGGTGGATTAGTAATTTTATACATAGAAAATTCAAAATAAAATATCGTACAGTTAATTACTGCATTTATTGTGTCATGTAAGATTTAGTAATTTCAATCTGTTTCAAGAAGATATAAAAAATTTCTTTAAATTATAAAAAGATTCTGAGACTAATAAAGACTAATAAAATAAATTTTTTACGTATTTTTACATTATTTCTATATTTATATTGCCATTAAGATTAACAAACAAATAATGTGGTTTATAATTGTTTGTTTGGTGATACTCACAAAAATTTTGTACGACTGGCGTCGCCCATCAACATTTCCTCCAGGTAAATTATATTTCATTGTAATTATATTCAATAAAAAGTTAGATTTATTTAAAAATTATATTTATATGGTAATTATAAAAATATTTGTGTTATTTTTACATAGTTTTTATTGCTATGTTTATAATTATTAATAATTTTTTACATCACCTTTTATAAAAATAATATAATTAATCATATAAATTAAACAAAATTTTATCTTCTTTTTTTATAAAAATAAATAAATTATTGATTATTTATGTATTTTTCAAAAAAAATGTAATACAAAAAAATTTTACTTTTATTTTACGCTTTTATTTCAAACAGACATTTTTGCTTCTATTTTTTTATGAACATTTGCTTTGATACGACTCAATATTCTATATTGTCTCGCAATTTATGAATATATAAGATATTCTATTCGAGGACCCCGCGGTCTACCGATCGTGGGAAACATACTCGACGTAAAACGTCTGGTCGATGAGACGAAGTTTTATTCTCATGCCTGGTGTCGGTTAGCCGACATTTACGGACCTATCGTCGGTTTGAAACTCGGCATAGCTGAACCGCTGATCATTGTTTCCGGTAAGGATGCGGTAATCGAAATGATGAGTCGACCTCAGTTTGACGGCAGACCTAATGGATTTATACATAAACTTCGCACGGGGGGTAAACGGAGGGGTGTATTATTTACCGATGGCGATATTTGGCGAGATCAAAGAAGGTATTTCGCATACAATTATATTATTATATTTAAAACTTTTAAAAAAATCGTGTTTGATATAATCTAATACAGAATATGCCTTTGATACATATATAAATTAACAAGAAAATATTATATTGAATAATTTTTTTCAGTAAATATTATTTTTCTGTATGGATTATATCAATAACTCTTGTTTAACAATTTCATATTTTCAACAAAATTTTTTAAGAGATTAAATCTTTAAAATATTGTTGTTATATTATTTTCTTTAAATTACTTGTTACAAATTATTCAGATTTGTTCTGAAAACATTGAAAGAGTTTGGATTTGGAAATGTTACGATGGAGGACATAATATTAAACGATGCGATTTCCTTAACAAGTACGATAGAATCGCTGGCTAAATTGGGACCCATTACCAATTTGTACAATATTACCTCCATAGCTGTTCTCAATAATTTATGGACATTAGTCGCTGGAACTCAGTATGCTGCATTATTGTAAATTCGATTTAAAATTGTAATTAAAATGTAATTAAAAATAACATGAAGATATATCGTTGTAGATTTGACTTGGATAATTCGAAATTAACAGAGATTTTATCAGTGGTAAACGAGATTACAAGAAATACTAACGTCACTGGTGGTATATTAACCCATTTACCATTTTTAAGATATTTTACTCCAGGATTAACTGGATTTACTGCACTAAATCAAAAATGGACACGAATGTGGCAATTCATTAGGGTAATGCAATACCTATTCCTCCGTTAGCGATATAATTTCTATATATTTCTAGATATAAATATAAGAGATCCTTATAAATAAAATAAAATATCGTCTTTCAGACCGAAATAATGAAGCACAAACAAACTAGAACACATGGCGAATTCAGAGATTTTATCGATGTTTATCTAGCGGAAATGGACAAGCAATCAAATTCTTCTATATCGTCTTTTGATGGTACACAATGTCATAATGTACATAATTATATAAATGAAAAATTTTTTTTACGTATAATGGGAGTGCATATTTTTTAAATATTACATTTTTCGCAAATCGTTATAAGATTTTTATTAGATTTTCGTACATCATAATTTCTAGAAACAAAACAGTATTAAACGAAAAAAAAAACAGAAAAATATTATTTTTTAATACATTACTTTAAATACGAAGTGCCACTACAGTTTGAATGTTAAGAGGTTGAACTATTATACAATTCATATAAAAATGAATTAATTTCAAAAATGATAATTGCGTGCCGATATGGTTGTCGGACTTTCAACGCAATCAATCTGAAATATTAATAATCCCTCCAAATTTTCTAAATTTTAAAAAATTCTAATAAATTTATTGCGAAAAATATTGCCTCGATCGAACCATCTCTTGCATTCCGTGCAATTATTTTTAAATATTTTATTTTACTAATATTTAATATTTTTTATTTAATATTTAATATTTAATATTTTATTTTAATATTTTATTTTACCTAATAATATTGTAATAAATCCGTATATTAAATTGTGTATTTTTCTCATGATAAAAATAATTGCACAAAGTAATTTTTGACGCATAATAGATAATACAAATTATTATTGTTTTCAGAAGAACAATTAATTAGCGTTGTAAAAGACCTTTTTACTGCTGGAGTGGAAACGACAAAAAACACAATTGGTTTCATAATTACGTATCTTGTGGTGAAGCAAGATGTGCAAAGAAAAGTACATGAAGAAATCGATAGAGTGCTTGGAACGGAAATTTTACCTCGCATAGTATACAAAAATCGGTACAACGAATAAAACATTGCTTAATATATTATATTATTGTAATATTAAAATTATTTCATTCGCGGACAAATGCGTTGTGTAAGATATACTGAAAATTTTCAGATTGCCGTACTTAAACGCAATAATAGCAGAAGTAACGAGATTGGCGAACGTCGGTCCTACTTCAATTCCTCATCGAGCTATGACTGACTCCACTCTACTAGGCTACGAGATAAAAAAAAATTATACTTTACTAGCTAATCTGCGAAGCGTACATATGGACGAGCAGCATTGGGGCGATCCAAAAGAATTCAGGCCCGAAAGATTTATTAATGATAAAGGAGAATATATCGAGGATCCCTGGTTAATACCGTTCGGCTTAGGTAAAGAAAAATACAATACTTTATAGTAATACTGAAAATTGTAACATTAACGATTTGACAGGTCATAGAAAATGCTTGGGCGAGATTTTGGCGAAAAACAACATATTTCTGTTTACTGCGTGTCTATTACAGAAATTTCAGTTCGTGTTACCTTTAGGACATCCCAATCCTATTTTAGAAGGCGTCGATGGTTTCACAATCGCACCACCTCACCTAAGTGTTGTTGCTATAAAAAGAAAATAACTACTTAATTATAATAATACGCGCGTACGCAATGTATGATCGCGATAAAATCTATACAACATGATGATAACAAAGAAATAATTTACATCATTCCATAACATTTCACAAAAAACATGAAATAATAAAAATGATTTCATGCTATTTTTCAGAAGGATTGCAATGATTATAATTATCATTCTTTTTTATAATAGCGATTATCTTTATTTTATTTTTAAATACAAGTTTCTATCTCAAGTAATGTTAGAAGATTCTATTTACAATTAATATACAGTAACATGTTTTTCTATTCACAAGAGAAATGCTTACAAGAAGTCTTTTTATTACATTCCATAATATTCAAAGGAACGTTATTCGTCGTTGGCCACCTATTGTACATTTGGCATAATTCGAAATATCGAACCAATCACATAATCTTTTTCTTTCGCTTCGAATACTATGAATGATGGAAGACAACAGAATCCAAATAAAAGTCTTATCAAAAGCTTTCACAAAATAACTACATATAATATTTTTCAGTTTCGATGTTTCGAGTCATGAGGCGAATTAACGGAAAATTATCGCAAAGATTATTTATCTCAAAAAAATTAATTAATATATATCATACTGCGAAATTTAAAATTGAGAAATTAGTTTTTCGCAGTAAACAAAATATATATATTTTTATATACAATCAGAAGATATATGACTGACACAAATGTCAGTTCTATTATTAATGTAATTTATGTAATTTCTATAAAAGAATGTAATACACAGACGTCAATAATTATAGAATAGAAATATGTTCTGTAATCGGAAGTATAGTATAGTATAGATGTATAGAGAGAAATCGTTATATGTCATGAGAGAGAGAAATTCCAAAAAGTTTTATTTACACTAAGAATTTGGAGATTCGTATGGTCCACAAAGATGCAAAAATGCACAACTTTTCTTTATGATAATGTCAAAAGTATACTTATCATGATCCAATAATGATCAATCGGAACTTTAGATGACAACATTCTCGGTGGTACGGTACAAACACTTTAAAATTTTAATAAATAATAAATTTATACTATCGCTGGCTGATATATTTAAAGAAAGCTATTAAGTCAGATTAACAATTAACACATATATAATATCGATAATTAACACAATAAAATAACAAAACTGCGACCTGATAACTGCGACGGCAAATATAAAAAAAATTGATCTCTTGAACAAAAACAAATATAAATAATTACCTA